TGATGAAATTCGTTGCCAACGCTTTTAAAAGTCGATTTTTATCGATTTTATCGATTCGTTGTTGCAGCCCTAGCTAGAACTGCTGTCGGGAAGGTCGGATTTAGGTCACACTTGGGTCCGAGTAGTGCTTAGCTCCAAGGGTCATCCAACCCGCTTGCTTCTTTAATTATTATTCTTATCCCCCTAAGAATGCATTTTTTGAGGCCTTAACATGTCATCAATTTTGCCAATAATTGTTCCCCATGAAAAATCGTGTGTTATCAATCAAATTAAAATTGGCTTTAACCAAATGGCTCCACAGCGCCCCCTAAAGTGAGATGTGGAAAACCTTTAATACTTAGGATTAGGAATTAGGCACACAAGTAGATCTCCCCCAAATCATTAAAAAAATTATTTTGGAGGTATGCCCTAAACCCCACAGGAAGTTTAACCTTTTTTTTCCTTTCCTCTGCAGCTGAAGAAACTAGACCAGGCCATTGAAGACTGCACAAAGGCCATTAAACTAGATGAGACCTACATCAAGGCCTATTTAAGGAGAGCCCAATGGTTTGTCAAAGAGGCTTAACTTAGTCACCTTGAATTGCATTTAACTTTTCATACCTCTTTAGAAAATGTATTGAGTCTGACAGCTCTTTGTTTAAAGTGGGTAAAGAAGTAAAACTTGTGCATACTTTAATTCAGCTATATGGACACAGAGCAGTATGAAGAGGCAGTGAGGGACTATGAGAAGGTGTACCAGACAGAAAAGACAAAAGGTATGAATCTAATCGCTCTAAAGGATGTAAATTGTTATACTTTCCTTTTAAACTTATGACATAAATCCATCAAAGGCATTTTAGTTATTTCTTTTTTTACTCTTTAGAACACAAACATCTCCTCAAAACGGCTCAACTGGAGTTAAAGAAAAGCAAGCGGAAAGATTACTACAAGATCCTAGGGGTGGATAAGAATGCCACAGAAGAGGAGATCAAAAAAGCATACCGCAAACGAGCACTTTTACATCACCCAGGTGATAAAGGCCTCCAAACCTTTGTGATTCAGCATCTAATTTCTAATTTAATCATTTTGCATCTAATAACATTATCTAATGTCTGCTGTTCCTTTCAGACCGTCACAGCGGAGCCAGTACTGAAGTGCAGAAGGAAGAGGAGAAAAAGTTTAAGGAAGTGGGCGAGGCTTTCAGCGTGCTTTCAGATCCAAAGAAAAAGGCCCGCTATGACAGCGGACAGGACCTGGAGGATGACGGCATGAATATGGGAGGTCAGTGCTGGGGTGGGATGGACTGGGAGGTTATACTGGTGATCAGGTTGATATGCAGAGTCGTACGGTGATGCTGCTGTTAACTAGTTGTGTCAACTGTTTTTTTTTTTTTGCCAGACTTCGATGCCAACAACATTTTCAAGGCGTTCTTTGGAGGACCAGGAGGTTTTAGCTTTGAAGGTAACTAAAGCAAACGTGCTGCTGTGATTTTTGTGTTTGGATGGTAAAATATTTTAATACTTAATACTGTTTTTTCAGCATCTGGACCAGGAAACTACTTCTTCCAGTTTGGCTAGTCGGAGACATAAACGGCAACTACATCAGGACTTTTCTACAAGTCACCCCCTCTACCCACCATCCGCATTAAATAACTGACTAAGGAATCAGATTCTTGACTATGCCATTGACTGAGCGAATGCAACCCGACGACCACAAGCAGTGAATTATTTACAGCAAGGACACAAAAGATGACTCAGTTTCTTTTTTTCTGGCAAAATACAACTAATTCAAAAATCTGTAATTACTATCAAAAATCCAGAATGTGTGGATGATTTTTGATAGGAGCAGAAATTTGATCTAAATGATTCAGTATGGGAAGTGCCATCCTGGGGAAACTTCAGATGCAGCAATTCATCCAGCAAGCTGTTGTTTTACCCACTTTTCTGCTGAGGGAGTATTCTTTGCATGAAATTTGATAACTTGATCAATGGTTTCTGAGGAAAATCACTGAGCATAGGCTATGGGGGCACACTATTTTAAAGTAGAATACAGCTGGAGCTCCTGACCCACACAGATGGCGTAGCTGGAACACTAGAGAGAGATGGAGGCTGAGACATCCATGCTGGAAGATCACCTCTCCCTTTTGCCATCACTGGTTTTATGTTTGGTGTTGCCATTCTGAGCTTGCTGCAGTGTACATTTTACTGGAATGTAACGTGTTAATTTGTGATGTTAACATTTTATTTTCTTTTTTTTTTTATTCTCATTTCTATATTTATTGTAAGTTTGCTGTCAAAAGAACTTTGATATACGATGAGGATATTTCTCTTTCTAAGAAGAAAATGTATTGAGCCTTCCACCAGGATGATGATGGATTTGCTCGGTTTGCATGAACTCTTGCTGCCTTTGTTGAAAGTTGATCCAAGACATCTGTTAATCAGAAATGTACACACATAGGATTCATATCATTAAATTCCAGATGTTTTATTGGTTTTTGGCTTAGGCGGTCAGACCTTTTGGAATATTTGAAACCTGGCAAATTCCTGATTTGTTCCTGACTTCTTTCCCCTCAGTTTCTGCCCTTTGGAAACCATCCTTTCTTTACCTTTAAAACGTTCCAGTCGTCAATAAAGTTGGCCTTCTCTGGGTTTCCCCAAAAATTCTGCTGTTTGATTCGTTCTTTTTGGTCAGCAATAATAAATGTAAGGACGTTTCTTTCTAAATGAATGAATACTATTGATAAATTATTCAGATTCTATGAAATAAATGAATTTCACAATAAAGTAAAACTAAAATATTTTGAAATACGTTTTTCAAGAATTTTTTACTTCCAGTTTTATTGTTTTGAGACTTATTTTGTAAAGCTACTTTACATATTCAAATTACTTTTTTTACAGTTTGTTTTTTTCATTTTTAGCCTTTTTTTTTATTTCATCTTGTATTCCAGTCAAGGGGCGGAGTTTATGTGTGTGCAGCGCTGGTCAGAGGTCAGTGATGTAGAGGAAAACAGGAACCATTTTTGCACAATTAGAGAAGGAAACAGTTGTCCATTTTTAGCAGCCTTTTGCAGAATGCTTTCTAAATTTATTAAACTTAATTTGCAATGTCTAAAGATGGAAGCATTTCAGACTTACTGAGAGAAGATGCAAACCATCTTGACTGAATGCTAGTATGGCGGAACAGAGCTTAAAATACAAAACAGAGTTGAAAAAGTAACTGAAATATTTAAAGTTATTTAACAAAATAAAATAGAAATAAATCTGGTAGTATATAAATAAATCTTGAAATAAATAAAAATCAAATGAGATTTTGTTTAGCTTTAAAGTGGCTTTAATCTCATAGAATGTTAATTTATCATTAGTATTTATTTATTCATATATCCACTAAATTAAGAATGAAATAGCTTTCCGTTCCACATGAAGCAGCTTTATGAATAAATGAAATGTGCCACAAGGGGGCGCCATAACCTCGACTCATGTTTCTGTGGTTGCTAGGTAACGCTTTCATCAACTCACCTTTCGCTAGTAGCTAAAACTCAGGGTTAAATTAAATGTCCTTCATGGAAACTCAGAAGAAACAAAAGCAGGAAACTTTTGAGGATAAAATCTCCACGTTGAGGGCTGACGGGGAATGGAAACTGCGGCAAGGAAAATACAAACAAGCGCTCAGCAGCTTTAGTGCGGTTAGTTAAATGTTGCTTGGCTGGTTAATGCTTATTTCCGATACTTTTTAAAGCGGTTGTTTGTTTTTTTTTAGGTGCTCGATTTAATCCATGAGGACAAGAAAAGCTTTGTGGATCGATCCAAGTGTTACCATCGGATGGGTGAGTTTAGAAATGCTTTAATAGACGCTGAAGCTTCACTGAAAGACGACGCTTTACTTCCTGAGGTAATTTCCCCCCATCATGAGCAAAGATTAACAACTTCTCTCATTTATTTATGTTTTATATTCCGCTATTTATTTATTTTTTTAGGGGTTGTACCAAAAAGCAGAAGCTTTATATTCCATGGGAGAATTAGAATTTGCGCTGGTTTTTTACCACAGAGCGCACAAGATTCGCCCACAGATGCAAGAAGTCAGGCTTGGCCTCCAGAAGACAGAAGAAGCAATAAGAAACCATGTTGGCAGTTAGTGACATTCACTGGAAACTGTGGCTTTTTAGAGTTTAAATAATCAAAATTTAACTTGATTTTTCCTGAACCTACCTGCAGGTCCTTCCTCTGTCAACCTCGAAGTTAAGGGAGATTTATCATACCTTAAAGATAAGGAGAAGGTAAGTGTTTAGATGTCTGTACTTTCATAAACTGACATTGTATCCATAGTCGTAGGATTGCATGGGGACCATAGGGACATGTCCCTACCAGAATTTTGGACCAACCTACTTGTCCCTACTAAAAATTAGATGTAAAAAAGATGTTTATAATTTACAATACAGCTTTGTTGCAGCAGTAGAGGAATTCTGGATGGAGAATATTGACAGATGAAAACATTTTTTTATCTAAAATGCTAAATGTTTATATATATTTGTTTTACAAATTTGGTATAATTCCTGCTCTAAGTGGGTCGCTCTGAAAGCTAAAGACATGTTTTAGAGTCTCTATACTCCAGTTAACTATTAATCCATCCATCCATCCATCGATTTTCTTACACGCTTATCCCAAATGGGGTCGCGAGGGGTGCTGATGACTATCTCCAGCTGTCCTTGGGCGAGAGGCGGGGTTCACCCTGGACAGGTCCCCAGTCCATCGCAGGGCAACACAGAGACAAACAACCATTCACACACACACTCACACCTAAGGGGACTTTAGAGAAGCCAATTAACCTAACAGTCATGTTTTTGGACTGTGGGAGGAAGCCGGAATACCCAGAGAGAACCCATGCATGCTCAGGGAGAACATGCAAACTCCATGCAGAATGACCCCGGACCGGGAATCGAACCCAGAACCTTCTTGCTGCAAGGCAGTGCTACCCACTGCCCCACTGAGCAGCCCTCAGTTAACGATTAATCGATTACTAAATTTGTTGACATTATTTCAATAAATGAAATGGGTTAAACAGAGTAACTAAAGCCTAGATGTACAACTTGTAGAATGAGGTTAATATATTAAATGCTCAGTGTCAGTTCCTCTTCTAGTTCCAGGGCACATGTAAATACAATACATTTATTTGGCGTCCCTTGAATCTTATGTTTCGTTTTGAAAGAGTGGATGTTTCCTATGTTTACCTCTGCACAAGTCTATATCTTCTAAAATAAAGTATAAATCCACATATAATAGACATAATTAGACTATATTCTGTTAAATAGGCACAGATTTACCTACTGTCTTAGTCGCTGGTAATTTCAAATGCAAACCTTTTCAAAATGAAAAAAAGTCCTATTTCCTCATTCATCTGAACCAGATCAGCTTTAGTCATTGATTAACAGTATCTAGTGTGTGTAGTGCTTATAAAATTTGTATAAATGTAGCAAGAAATGCTGCTTTTTTCTTTAAAGGAAATACACCATGATTTTCACGTCAAGCTTAAAAAAACGAGCATGCATATTTTTGCATTAGACCAATGACATCAGACCAACAGTGTTCCTACCAAAGTCTTTATCATTTCCACCTACCTCTGCTGTAAACAAATAGAAGTCACTCATTGTGTTAAACTTTTGTTTGATATGTTGTTTTCTATCTGTGTTTTTTAATGAATAACCGTTGAAGAGAGAGCATCCAATTGCTGTTATCCAGAAACTGACAGAAGACAAAGATCATCAAACTTCAGAGGACTCGGAGAACAAGAAGACCACCAAACAACTGCTGAGCAACTTTTACCTTCACCAGAAATTTCTAGAGAAACTTCTGAAAGACCAAGGTTTAACACTGTCCATATATCGTCATTTGCCTTTGTCCAATTCTCTTCCATATGTTGACGAAAGTCAGAATCTTTTTGCCTATGCTTAAAGCTTTTCACCCACTTTTACTTCAAAAATATTTTCTTCAAATGTTTTCATTTTGAAATACTGTCGCTTAAAGCTGGTATGCAACTCCGTTCAGATTTGGCTAAAGATGAGACAAAGAGTCGAGAACGAGTGGAGAGCATCATTCAGAACAGTATCACGTCTTTATACAACTGCGCTGACTTCAGGAGTCAAGAGACGCCAATTTCCCTCAGAGAGAAGAAGGATCGGCCGAAGCTGCAGAAATCTAGCTCCACCTCTGACAAGGTTCAGTTTCTCCTGGGGAGCCTTGATGAGATGGATGGCGGTAAGTTAGGCTTCTGGCTGAACATGTGGCTCACTCATATTTATTTTTTTCTGTGTAAAAGCTTCTCTTATTGTTCTGTGTGTCTTCAGGGAGTGCAACATGTAGTCTGAAAAAGGCAGAAGATTTAATAAAAAGAGTTCAAAGATATTCAAAGAAAGTTTGCCCTATTAAAGAAGAGATGATGTGTTTCCTGCATAGCTGCATTGGAAATGCTTCGTTTGACTTGGGAGACGTAGATAAAGCTCTGGAGCATCACTACAAAGACCTGGAGTTGGCTAAACAATGGTAAGAACCTAAAGAAATGGAAAACTGGAGTCAATGTTGCCTTTTAATAATGGACGATCTTTTAAGTAATCTTTCTTACCAACAGCAAATTTCAAGAAGCTACTTCCAGGGCTCTGGGCAACATCGGTCGTATCTATGCTGAAACTGAACAGTTTCCGAAAGCCATAGAATCGTAAGTAAGGAAACATTTTTGTTTTACTTCCAAACTAGAAATTATTTCAATTTCTTTCTATTCTTTCTCTTTTTTATTGTATTCAGGTGGGAAGAGAAGATTCCTTTTGTTCATAGTGATTTGGAGAAGGCCTGGTTGCTTTATGAGATTGGCTGTTGTTACCTGGAGCTCAAACATCCTGACAAAGCCAGAGAATACGGCCTGCGATCTGTCGCTGTGGCGGAGGACATGTCCGATGACAAGTGGCAGTTAAGAGTCCGAGTTTTACTCGGACGGTCAGAATGTAATTATTCATCTTTTTTCTTATTCCAGGTTTTATATTAGATTTTAACTTGCAAACCGATTTTCTTAACCTATTAAAAACTCTAATTCTGTTTATTTGAGTATCGTTTGATGTTTAAGATGATGTAACTGTTTTTTTTTGTTTGTTTTTTAGTGAATCTGGGGAACTTTCAATCATCTGTATCACACTATGAGAAAGCTCTGAGTCTGGCTAAACAGCAAAAAGATGGCACTGCACAGAGCAAGATCCAAATAGTTTGTTTTGTAATTCTATACTTACAGTTTTAGTTCTTTCTAAGAGCATTTTTGGATCTTTGAACATATCTCATTTTCTTTTTAGGTTCTCAATTGGAGCACAACAGCATCTGCCTCACTGTGGAACCCTGCAACAGAACGCAATCAGAGAACATCCATTCACGAGGATCTTATTTAAATAAAAAGTGCATAAAGGGTTTTTTATTTGTTTTTGTGTTTTTACCCCATTACACTTTTTTGTGCATCCTTCTTAAAATAAATGTAATCCATCTACCCTTCCCTCTTTTCTATGTTCTTTACGTTAGAAGAGTTCCAGGCAAAAGGGCTTTTCCCAGCTCTCATCACTGTTCTGATGACAGTGTTATTGACTTGGAATGATTACCCTGTATTATCTCTCTTAAGGAAAATTAATTTGGATCAAACAAATAAGACGGCCTGCACAGTAAAGTCAAATGTACAAAGCAAAAAATACATGTGCAAAGAAATGAAAAATAGGATAAAAAAAACTGAGAAAAATCTAATCTCTTCTCTGTATATTTTGGCAAAAATAACTTCCAAATGGCCAAAGACGAGTGCAAAATAATAAAAGGAAAAAATATATATAACAGCTCATGAGAGGAAGCCTCAGATGATCATTTTTGTATGCGGCTGCAGCACTGCATTGAAGAAGCACATCAGCTTCATACATTAGTCTAGTTGTAAAAAAATAAAAATAAGAAGGGGGATGTTGGAATTATTTTTTTTAAGCATACATAGCCTAATTAATATAATCTATCAACCTAAAGCAATATGCATGGTATAGTTGTTACATGTCAGGTACGCCAGTCATTGACCTTGACCAAGGCACCTTACAGTAGAACAGCAGTCAGTCCCTGGACTGGCATGGCTATCACTGCCCCTACATAGATAGGGACAAATTTCCCACTGAGATCAGCTTCATAATCATGGTAGGACACTTCTTTGATTTTATTTACTTTGTTCAGGCTACTTGTAAGCCCACAGCCCGCAAATGTTAAATAGACAATAATGCTTTTACTGTTAGTAGAAATTTTAAACATCCAGTAATAAAATGTTACAGGGGATGGT